GGAGTCGTGCTATAAACGATGCTTTGGCTACGGTCAGCATGATCTACAAACTAAAGATTCAAAGCGCGACAGATTTGCCAGTGGCTGTGAGCAATGTTGTGTTCGGACCTTTTCTTGTATCTGCTGTTTGCCTTGTTACGATGCTGTATGTGAACGCTGTTTGAAACACAATTTCTGCTACCAGTGTCTGCACTGCTCTTGTTTCTATAGCGAGGAGAAGGTCTTGCCTGACTGTGATACCACCCCAGGGCTAGTACGTCAAACCTCCACCAAGAGCTTGCAGGATAAATACGTTAGTCCCTGTGCCGCCTCCAATTTCAGTATTCTAGAACAACCAGGGGCAAGCAATGCAATGGCGAACAAGGACTCAGCCTTTGTGAACCCTGCATTTAAAACAAGTGCTCTACAGAAGTCCCAAAGCGACGGAAAATTAATCGTAAAAGCTGTCACCCACCAACCTCCCAGGCTTTCCTTACTCATCTCCAAAAAGAATCCGTATCAACAAATGCGCGACAGCATGCGTGACAGCACTGAAAGGATTACGGAGGGAAAAGAGTCCGAAGCTCCGGAGAAAGAGGACAAGGGAGAGTCTGATGAGGATGAAGAGGGAACTGAGGCGGAGGAGGTAGAGATACACGTGACCCTGGGAGATACAGGGGAAGAAGAAGTGAATACAGCGAAAATAGAACCGGAACCGTCAGATCTCAACACGAACGTCTTCATTAAGGACTTCCGGCAGACAACCGTCTGATGAGGGGCCATTCTAGGCTGTCTTGTTTATGTATTGTATTTGTAGTTGTCTGAGAGTAAGCATAATGGAACGTTTATTTATTTGCTGTTCGATGAGGCTTTATTGAGGCATGTATTACTAGGAATTCTTTTTTGAGCAGAAATTTTTAATTTTAAAAATTCTGATTTTTCAAAGAGGAAGTTTACACAGATTGTGTTAATTAATTTTAAGTCTCTGTAAATGATACAAAACCTTATTTCTGACTTCAGGAAGTTAAGTATGAGAATTTTTATTATTAGACAACACTATTGTTAACTCAGATAAAGGACCACAAGAAACGTAATAGGACAGAAAATAGTGAATTTAAACTAAGCCAATAGCTATAGATTTCTGTTCAAGTGACCCAAATAGTTGTGATCATAAGGAAACACAAGCTAAAAAGAGGAAGATTTTTTTTAGCGCAAGATCTACACGGATATTATATTTGACAATTTTAATAAGCGAAGTGTGATATCTATAATGCTTTTGTTCATAAATGTATGTATAGGATTTCGTTTCAAGTTTGCTTTCATAAAATAGCATTCATCAGTTTGAATAAAAACGAAATCTATGTGCATGATGATTATCCAATCGAATCATTGTTTCCTTCTTTCTCTAACATCAATATCCAAAATTTATTAGGAAGAACCTAGCTGTAAAATGCACTGGTGCTTGGGGACGGGACCCTCCCTCCTCCGCCTCCTACCACCAAGGGTTCTTTGACTTTTTAAATAGAATATTATTCTATGACATACGAAGGGTTATCAAAAAGTTCGTGGGCTGATGTGATAGAATTAGTACTATGCAGCGGGTGTTGATGAAATTTATGAGAAACATGAAACAACAAAACTTTATGAAGTGTTGAAATTTTCAGCTTGATACGTTAATAATTTGCCTAATTATCATTAAATACAAAAAACGCCATATGATCACCTGGCGCTGTCACCGTTGAGTTTCGTATCATCCGACAACGTCATTGTTTCTCAATGTCCACTCGCTCTGCCTCAATTCACCTTTTTATGACATTCCCTGGAGTTAAGTAAAGATTTAAACCTGTCTTGTTTATACGACTTTATAATGTTCTGAACAAGTAATTTCAATGTATAATATTGTAAAAGGATGTATACATAGGTGATGATACTCGCTTGATTATGCCACAATTTTCTTGTCGGAGTTCCATGTCAAACGCACACGAGTAGCGTCACTTTTTGACATGACTGACGGCACCCGAGATACAAATCGACAATTAATTGTTCGTCTCTTCTCTCTCTGAATCTTTTTCGGCATTTTAAAAACGGGTACATTTTATTTCTCTGTAGCCTGTTTAAACATTTCAGAGGTCTATGCCAGTTTTTCCAGGGGTAAAACGTTATAGAATGTACATCCCACCCCTCTTCTGACGTCATTTTTAACCCCTTAATTGTTTGGACATTTCATAAAAAAATTACCGATAAGATTTCATAAAACTTTAAAAGATCATTTTACAGAACAATTGTTTCATACCACATGATTGTTGGACTACTCAAAATAAAACAATTTTTCTCCTTTAGACTCGAGTAGAAATTACGTCGTATTTTGAGGTTGCACCGCCTGGTCATGCCATTGCTTACTAAACCATACATGATTTGTTAGAAAATAAGACTTATGATATTTAATTTATCTTATAGATAGAAAAGATGATGTTTACTGAATGTATCAAAATTCATAGATGTACCTAAAGCGGGTTTAATTTTATAGCGCTAGTCCACGAACTTTTTGATAACCCCTCGTACATGAAAAATAATAGAAAAACCCCAAATATGTAGCCTTAAACTAACCTTTTATAAAAATTCACACTCACTGATGTTAAAAGAGAAGTTCTCTTGTAGAAACATCAGATTATAATAGGATTGAAAAGATGTTTATACGCGCACATTGTTTATTGAAACTTTATTTACCCCCCCCCTCCCCAGAAGGTTGGAGGTTAATAGATGTTTTGTTCCATCGGTCCTACTTTTATGAATATGTAAGCGCGGTTGTTTTGCAACGCAGCCGGGTTCTGGATAGCGGCGGCGTATCAAGCCTTTGACTCTTGACAAATTCGATATTTTCAATGAAAAACAACTTTCTGTCCAGCACCATGAATACAATCCCACATAATTTCACAAAGAGTATATTCAGGAATTTCACAAATATACATCTTGTTTTGAACAGTTGGTAACACTACATGTACTTAATGTTTTGTAGTTTTATGTCACTTTGTAAGGGTAATGGTTTAATCATATCATTTTTAGCTCACCTCAACAAAGTTTGGGGAGCTTATGTAATACTCTCGGCGTCCCAGGTTAAAGTTTTTGGAGCAAATTTCTTTTCGAGTACTTCTATGTCCTATATTAATCAGAGATGCCTGGAGGATGCTTCTAGTATATTTCATTGTACCAGTCAAGGTTTCAGATGCTGCAATTTCAGCTGAAGAATGATCAGGTTATTGTTTTGTTTTTTTGGAGCAGGTTAAAGTTCTTGGAGCAGATTAAAGTTCTTGGAGCAGGTTAAAGTTCTTGGAGCAGGTCTCATTTCCAAGTAACAATAATATTGACCAAACTTGCATGGATAATACATCTAAAGATGCACACTACTGGATTTGCTTTGGATGCTGGATCTGACTTACATTTTCCGGTTGAGTGACCAGGTTAAAGTTTTTAGAGCAGGTCTCATTTCCAATTAACTTTAAGCCATATGTTGACCAAACTTGCATGGATGATACATCTAAAGATGCATGCTAGCAGGCTTGCTTCGGGTGCTGTATCTGACTGACATTTTCCAGATGAGTGACCAGGTTAAAGTAAACTATAAGGGCTATCTGAACCAAACTTGCATGGATGATGCATCACAGGATGAACACTCTCAAACTTGCTTCAGATGCTGGATATGACTTACATTTTCTGGATGAGTTTTAGGTAAGTCCATTCCCAAGTAACTGCAAGCCTTATCGGACCAAAACTGCATGAATCTTACATCTAGGGATGCACAACACTAGATTATTAGTATGGGACTTTGCTTTACTTAAAGACAACATTTGTTGAGGTGGCTCTGTAATCTCTGATTATCTATGTTTATTACACAGATTGGAATTACTTTATGTGACGTTATAGAGATAATAAGGTTGTACGTAAAAGTAACTGGTTATTTCACTTTACCGACAGACAAGCGTCTTCATCTATTCAAGTGTAAATACAAGAGGTTGCTTATTCAATATAAGTCATGTCCTTTATCCGGCCACCATAGTGGTAATGACTAATATGCAACAATTAAGGCGTTTTAAAACATGTTACATTAAAGTTTTGCAATTTAAAAAATAAATTCAAAACTATAACAATCCTTGTTCCAGTCAGATCCCCCGTAAAAGCGAGTAGCTCAGTAGCCACAGAGCTGATCCCCAAAGTTTCAAGTTAGGTGTAAAGTTTAAACCCACCCTGATCTTTGATCGTTTGATGCGTGTTACATTTCTTACCATTGGTAAAAAATACTATTATTAAACTCTTTGTGTTATTTTGCTTTAATGAAAAAATTGGCACTAAATACATCAAACAACTTTAAAAAATACAAGCAAGTGGTTCCACTCACACCCACAACTATTCCATGCGCTTTGATGGTGGAGTTTGGGAGAGATTCTACTATAATATATTATGGATAAGTGACTTTATTAATACGGGTAAATTTAATTGCCGTTAAAACCCATTTTTCCTCTCCTGAAAAGAGATTTGAGATATTCTGTGGGTTCATACCTTGTAAATTTGACCAAAGAAGAAGGCTAATTAAAAGGGGGCAGCCACCCCATTGGATCCTCCTATGAATCTTGCAGAGCGTAACAGGTAATAAAGTTTGATACCTGTCACTGCGATTTTTTAAATGCTTGTTCTTTTAATAAATAAAATTTTGTTTCAGTTTTTAACTGGTAATACAAGCGAGATAATTACGTGTGTTGACTGATTCACAAATTTGTAACGATATATTACAAAAGAAACCAAACACTTGCAGGCACTACGGCAAGGACAAGCTCTAGGTAACCTGTACAGTTCGATGTACATTTACATTGCAGTCCATTTCCAGAACAATTTCTCCCTCCTCCTTCTTCTACGACCTTGGAAAGACTTTACGGTCTTATTAAATTGCCTTTTCTTATGCCATCATTGCATTAATGATATAATTGTGGAAACAATTCATTCATGCATAGCTGTGACGATATATGGCTAATTTCGCCCTGGTTTCGTGTATCGTTTTTGTCTCAGATTTCGCACGGATACAGGATGTTTAATTAAAACAGAACTTGGATTGTTTGTAACACCCGGTGTAGGACTATATGGTCATCATTACCTGGTCCGGAGAGCTATGGAGACTTATTTATGGTCCGTCCTTTTTCTTCTTATTTACCTTGTTAGAGGTACGTGCGGTTTATCTTTGTCTCTTAAACTTTAAATATGAATATTGACTGACATACTATCGAGCCACGCCTTTAAAGAGGAAGAGACATTGTACTTTTTAACCACCAATCTCTAAATGTTAAATGTGCACTTTTTAAGAATATAATAATCAAATAATGTACAAAGAAGTTATAAATTTGACTTAATATGCAACTAATAATTTTTCTTAACCGTAAACTGAGTTTCTAAACATTATACAATTTTTTTTATTGACTTAAAAACATTTGAACAAGTTTTTTGTGGTATATCGATGATTTAATACTCATACTCAGAAATCGAATTACAGCTCTAAATTTAAGGCATATGCGATCAAATTATATATTTTGTTTGGATCAGCTGTTGCATAATCAATTGAAGGTTTGTTTCTTGTTCAGACAATATACACACACGTGTTTCTGTGTATTAATTAATGACTACTTCAAGTGTCAAGTGGTCCAGGCTTGTGTAGTGGAGGGTTGGTATAGACAAAGTCAGTCAAGGAAGTAATTAGCAGGTAATGGTCAAAAATACAAGCTATAATTACACGAATAAGGTGTAGAGGTCTACACAGCCGTAAATGTGTTACAACCAGACAAAATTTACATCGAAGACAATACACTTTTTATATTTAATTTTAGAAATATGTTAGAACAATTATGTGATTGTAAAAATTATTATTAAAACATTATGACTAAATTCTTTATATTAATTCAACCAGACAATATAAACTTCACAATTTTATGGTTATAAAAATGATACATTTGGACTATATTCTCTATATTAATTCGACCAGACAATATAAACTTCACAATGAACCGTATTAAATTTCAAACAGACTGTTCTTTAAAGGATTTCTCATGACCCCCGACAATTTTCATGGCGGTTCGTGTTTTCTTATAAAACACGTCACTAAACAAAACTTCAGAAATGTAAAGAAACCAAACACTACGAAAAAGAGAAAAAAAAACCCCATTAATCCTTTATGCCTAGAGCTATAGGGTCCCGAATAAATAGGAATGAATTTTTATATTGATTAATTTCCCGTAGAAAACATATGTTGGTACGCATTGACCAGTAATTTAAGTGTCTGTCGGTGCTTGGGGTTTTCCAGTATTTTTTTTTTTATTTACTTAAGTAAATGTTTTATATATTGATTGACCTATGTATAGCTGTTAACTACTAGACTCAGTCTGCAACACGTAGACTACAGGTACTTGGTATAAACAAGTTACATGTAAATGTTAATCACTCAATATAATAACAATTTTATTCATGGTTTTCAAAAAAGACCTGTTAATTTTAAAGTGTGGTTATGTATAACTAACAATTCTCAAGACTATCACAATGACCTTGTTCTTAATAATACTTTTTTATTCATTTTCTCCGTATGTAAATGACATTGTAGGTAATGATATTTTAGTTCATTTTTTGCTCATTTTCTCCTAACTTAAGGAGGCTGGGGGTCAACAAATTAACCATCGGATAATACTTAATTTTTTAGGTATGATATCTTAAGTTGTCAACTTTCATTTGGCAAAGAAAAATTTCATAAATTTTAGTTTTAAAATTTGATCATTTTTGTATATCTTGATGTGGAGCTCTTCTTCTAAAGGAGATCAATATAGTCTGAAAATGGCCACAACCACCCAGCCTTCTTAATGGCATACGACTATATAATACAGGCCCGTAGGAAGCAATTTCAGTTTTTTTTTTTTGGGGGGGGGGAGGGGGGGCACAGTCATACATTTTCAGTTGAGGTGGCACTACCAAAAATTTCCCAACAAGCAAAAAAAAAAAAAAAAAAAAAAAAAAAAAAAAAAACAGGTCATCAACCACCCAAAATTCCTAAAATTCCTTGACAAGCAAAAAAAAAGGTCATCAGGCGATTTTATTGAGGGGGCACAAGTATATAGTATCTATGTTTACTATAGTTATCTATATATCGGCAAAATATTGGGGGAGGGGGGCCGCCCCCCCCCCCGTGCCCCCCCCCCTCCCCCGGTTCTTACGGCCATGTAATATACAAATGTTTGTATTTTTTTTTCAGAGCAGACTAATGAACTTTTATATAATGTTTCTTTTTTTGGGGATAAGAGCTAAATAAATAAAAAGCTCTTGTGTCACAATATACATTTGAAATGTTTAGATTCTTAAAGAGGCTGGGGGGTCAACAAATTAACCATCGGATATAACTTAATTTTTTAGGTATGATACGAGGGGCTTTTGAAAAGCTCTGAGAACTGCTTGCTAAAATATTAACCATTTCGCGGAAGTTAATAAGTTTGATGCCATTTAAAAGAGCTGGAAAATTTGCGCTTATATCAACGTCATTTTCTTATATTTATGACGTAATAACTCCAAAAATGACGTCAGAATCTCGAATGTTTAGCATACTGAAAAGTCGCGTTTTTTGTCCGCATGAGAACATCGAATATTTTTTGTCAAAGGCTTCTTTGAAAAGATATTTTAAAGAAAATTTGCATGGCTGTAACAATGGTACGGTAAATCAGCAATTCAATATTTTATTTTTTTTGCTTGGTTAATAAGCACGGTAATGTTATCTTAGGCATCCACAAAAGATTTTTATTTATATGATATAGCTGGATTTTCGATCTATTATATAGCTCTCCACTATATTAAATAAAGATATTCTATATAAAACCGAAGTGTAACAATGCAGTTTTCCACAAATGTATCTTGAGTATCAAGACTCTTGCTGTTTACGAATTAGACGCACGAAAGTCTTCCCCCGGACTTGTTTCTGTGCGCATTTTTTCACATTATTTCAACTTCGGCGATCCAAAACTCACTATTGCTTTTGACTTTCGACTCAAAAATATAAATCTGAGTTTCATTGCCATATACAATCTTATTTATTTTCCATGATTTAAAATTTTCGAACATATCGAGTTACGGTGGGGTTAGAACTACACCGGCGCCATTTTGGTTTTTACGAGAAAATATAGGACGCCTTAGCTTAACCTCTCTTGATTTTTAATCGTTCCCGCAAAATTGGTTAAAACATCTGACGAATTAATGCCAGCAAATTCTGTAACACCGTCCACTATTCTCCTGTGATTGTAAACTTTGTCATTTACATACAGCAGCGTCTTTTTTACCAAATATTTTGCGCGAGATTCGATAATAACATGCTATGTTTGACACACGCTTAAACCACCTTAGAACTATAGGAGCTCCTGAATATAACTCCATATAATAGACTGTAGTCTATGTAAACATTTTTCCAACTGTCAGTTGTGTCCGTTAGCGTGCATCCGAGTAATGAACAAAAGTTGACTTTAAAATTTTACTTCATTGAAATTGAGTCTCTTGTTACGTCATTTTTATGGTCATTATGCTAGACATTCGAGATTCTGACGTCATTTTCGGAGTTATTACGTAATAAAAATTACAAAGTGATGTCACCGTATGTGTATATTTTTGTGATCTGTCCAATGATATCATATTCAGTAATTTCTGTTAAACGGTTAAATTTTTATCAAACAGTTCTCAGAACTTTTCAAATGCCCCTCGTATCTTAAGTTGTCAACTTTCATTTGGCAAAGAAAAATTTCATAAATTTTAGTTTTAAAATTTGATCATTTTTGTATATCTCGATATGGAGCTCTTCTTCTAAAGGAGATCAATATAGTCTGAAAATGGCCACAACCACCCAGCCTTCTTAAGGTTTCCTGCATCCTTAATGTTCATAATTTCGGAGTATTTGCATTTTGACAAAAATATTGTCTGCCTGGTGTGATTATTTATTTTTATAACATAATACTGGGACAACACTCATACTCTACTTTTTTTAATCGTGTCCCCTATCAGAATGCCATGGAGATTCCTATACAGTGACGGGACTCGTGGTTTCCTCAGTATGCGCAGTGGCACTGTTTATCGTCGTCATTATCGTCGCTATCTTATTCACCGTATGGTAAGTGTTCAAGCTTATCGTCGCTATCTTCTTCACCGTGTGGTAAGTGTTCAGGCTTATCGTCGCTATCTTCTTCACCGTGTGGTAAGTGTTCAGGCTTATCGTCGCTATCTTCTTCACTGTGTAGTAAGTGTTCAGACTTATCGTTGCTATCTTCTTCCCCGTGTGGTAAGTGTTCAGGCTTATCGTCGCTATCCTCTTCACTGTGTAGTAAGTGTTCAGGCGTATCGTCGCTATCTTCTTCCCCGTGTGGTAAGTGTTCAGGCTTATCGTCGCTATCTTCTTCACTGTGTAGTAAGTGTTCAGACGTATCGTCGCTATCTTCTTCCCCGTGTGGTAAGTTTTAAGGCTTATCGTCGCTATCTTCATCACTGTGTAGTAAGTGTTCAGGCTTATCGTAGCTATCTTCTTCACTATGTACTAAGTATTCAGGCTTATCGTCGCTATCTTTTTCACCGTGTGGTAAGTGTGCAGTCTTGTACGTTTTCATCAACCAGATTAAGTACTGTGGATATATCAAAATAAAACAAAAAAAATAAAAAATAAAATTTATGCAAACCGATTGTGATGACATAAGTAACACACTTACTGCATATTAAGCATCTGTCTTCCAAACATCAATTCATCTTTGTTACGAATCTCCAGATTTCGTTTTTTTTTTTTCATTCACTTGTTGATTAGATTAATTAACATATAAAAAGAAAATTTTCTGTCTCCCTGGAAATTGCATAATTTTTTTAAAATCCATTTCCATATCCTTGCCGACATGCTCCTGATTTGTTACCATAATGTAGTCATTTTGAATTAATTTACAGTTGCTGTTTATAATCTTAAAGTGTATTTCCAAAAGTAGAATTTTTTTTCCTTTGTAACCCTAATGATTAGAACATGCTGAAACAGACCATTTTAATGCAATATGTACGCCCTTTAAGCCAGCTGTGAGCCTGGTTTTCAAGTATAATGAGCAGATTCTTTGGCAGAAGTATTTTGATTCATTCAAATACATGTAGAATTTTCTTACTAACACATATCCAAAATAATAGTTTGTCTTGTCTTTATAATCGACCACGTAAAATATCAGTAACTTTTATCTGATGTGTTGTTTTATTTTAGAATGTATTTGTTTTTAAATTCTAAACAGATGTAAATAATCGAGTGTTCATTTTCAATCCTCCAAAATCTAAATAACTCAACGAAAAATGTAAAATGTTCAGTCTAAAAAAAATGCGCATACAAAAGCAAAATGTAGAATATTTAATAATTTCAGGGCTGATTTCTTGAGAAAATACTATAAAAAGCGAGGAATTGATAAGTCTCCAAGAATAACGTACATAAAGCAGCGCCCCCACAGCATTAAAGGCACCATGTCTAAAGAACAGGAAAAACAGATGCAGCTGCAAGCCCAACAGAAACTCCGACCCAAACTCCCCAACACCTGGAGGGGTAAGTATCCAAAGGCCAGCTTTTCAAATAAAAGTAAATTCAGCAAGGGTTGTCTTTCCTTTTCCAGTTGCTCGCTAAATGTTGCTTCTCCTTCCTGGTTTTGTAGCTGCAACAGAACAGCAACCACCGCAACAGCAAAACGGGTGAGCAAAATCAACTTATGTTTTTTCCCTGTACTTATCTACATACCTTAACATAATCAAAATTTATAATATCAACCATTTTTTTCTTTTCAGAAATTTGGACGGACATTTTGGAACTTACACGGTATGTTTGCGTCAAGTTTAATTTGGAATAAAAAGATCTTGCACTTCGTAATCCAGACCCACGCTTTTCAAATGAAAGTAGAAAGTAACCACGTTTAAAATTGCAAATTAATACATGATGAACAAATATATTCCCTTCTTTGATGCCTATATTCACTTTCTGAAATGGGTCATTTCCCATTTAGTTTTATATAGTGCTTTTCATATATTTACAAGCAGACTCGTAGCAACGTTTTTCAAAAAGGAAGGAAAGGGGGAGGGCAAGCCTCCAAAAGAATTGGACAAGAAAATGACGAAATTCAAAAATCCTATTTTGGTGGGTAGGGGTAGTGATGGGACATAGAACTTTCTCTAACATTTCCGTTATTTTTTTATGCTAAAATTTACCAGACTACGACCTTACTTCAACCCAAAAAAGGGGGGGGGGCAAACAGCCTTTAAAAAAAATTCATATTCAAACTACATAGAAAAGCCCCCCCCCCCCTCCTCCAGTTCTACAGACCTGAAATGACTCTCATTACTAGTATTTTCTTACGCATTTGTGACATTGGTTAGGCAATAACTTAAAAGTTGACAGAATTTAATTATAGAATTGTTTTTTCCGTTTGTGATTGTGATAATTCCTCTTACCCGCAGACGACAGGGGATTTCCATTTTGGTACTGAGGATTTCGTGGAGGATCAGTACGCTACGGTACAAAAATCTGCGGTTGTCATGGAGATGAAAGAGGACTTGGGACCGCATTCTGTCCGTAACTACGAAAGTGTCATGGATTTACCCGAGGAAACTCCCGAAAGGCCAACCAATCGGACAAGCCAACACAGCCACTTAGAGCTTATAAACCCTTCTGAGATGGTCGAAATCCCTCTGCACAAAGAAGAGAAATGTAAATTATTGTTATTTCTTCTCTCTCTAGACAAGTTTTACATAGATATTAGCAAAGCGTAAATTGTTCTTTATTTCCGCCTAAAGCTACAATGGATCTGGCAAAATATTACAACCTTAATACATTTTATAAAATACTTGGACTACAGTCAGAACAAGCTACCACATTTTACTTGTAAAGGCTTTTGAAACCTTTTATTGTTCTGCTTTAAAGATTGAAAATGGAAATTTTTAGACCGACGATTGTTTCCGATAAATGAACTACAGTAAAACCACTTGTTTCCAGGAATAAATTCAGAAGCGACAAGTACACAAAACATTCAGTGATCTAATTGCATGTATTTTGAAATCAAATAATCTTGTTATAGAAGTTTTCACACAACATATATATCATATTGTTTGCATGTTCATCATTCGCTATTGCAATAATCACCACATAAGAGTCAATTTATAACGCTTTTCCTGCAGATGTACAGAATGATAATATACAATTCATTGACACTGTGTCATCCGTTGACAATATCCTAGTATCATCAGACCGCCATTTGTTCGTCTGTAACGCTAAATTACTTTTTTTTTGCAGCCACTCATTTCTGATAAGATCCGTCAGTGTCCAGGCCGGCGGCTGGGGGTGACGAATCCATGTTCGCTGGGCCAGTGACTTGTGTCAAACAACATCATTACATGCCTAGTATTGCCATAATGTCATCCAGGGACTATGTTCGTGTATATCTAATCTGTTTGTTCATACACATTTTATTGTGAATATCGGCAACCCGAGTAAAACGAGGGGCTATATTTTATACTCTTTGTTGACTAACGGAAATTATGGACAACAATGGGTCGCTGTGGTGTTTTTTCGCCATTTATATATATCTTTTCATTCCTGATCTATCAGTGATCTTTAAGTGCAGAATGTTGTCAATGTTTTGATATGCTTGTTGTATACTGCCTCCCTGGTTTAATAATTCAGACATTTATATGTCTTCTGATGAAGTAAAAATTCATTTGAAAAACAAATACGATTTTTTTGTTGTTGCTTCAAAAAGGTATGAAGTTCATATAGAAACTGAAACAAAATAAAACACTGCATCAAGTTCGTAATTTTTTAAGCCATATCAAATCAAAAGGTGCATGAATGAATAGCAAATTTTTACTCTTACTGCTGTCCTGCGGTTCATTAACGCTTCCTACTGAGGATTCTGGGATATCCGGATATACATTTGAAACAACTTATGGGTATTTACCTAATACACAGTTCAACCTTTCATATAAATTCACAAAAGAGGAAAACAAAATAAATTTGATTAATTTAATCTGCAAAACAATTCAGAAAAAACAAGATGTGTTTGTGAAACACTGATGCCCCCGTATGGCAACCTATAGCAAAGGTTAAACTTTCTCAAATGCAAATCATATATGTTGGTACCCAAAGTAAGGTCTTGTCTCGAGGAATATACCTGTGAAATATGAAAACCCTAGAAGCAAGCATTGAATAGATATGGAAAAGGTTAACTTTTTTTTTTAAAAGTATGTCAAACATCAAGGTCAAATGGTCAAAATTAATGGTGCCCAATGAAAGGCCTTCTCCCAAGAAATACACAGGTGAAATATGAAAGCCGCAGCACCAATCATACAAAAGTTATGACCAAGGTTAAAGTTTTTCAAAAGTAGGTCAAACTCCAAGGTCAAAGGGTCAAAGATGTTGGTATCCAAAGGAAGGTCTTGTCACAAGTATTACACATGTGAAGTATGGAAGCCCTAGCACCAACCGTTGAAAAGTTATGACCAAGGTTAAAGTTTTTTCAAAAGTAGGTCAAACTCCAAGGTCAAAGGGTCAAAGATGTTGGTATCCAAAGGAAGGTTTTGTCACAAGGATTACACGTGTGAAGTATGAAAGCCCTAGCACCAACCGTTGAAAAGTTATGACCAAGGTTAAAGTTTTTCAAAAGTAGGTCAAACTCCAAGGTCAAAGGGTCAAAGATGTTGGTATCCAAAGGAAGGTTTTGTCACAAGGATTACACATGTGAAGTATGAAAGCCCTAGCACCAACCGTTGAAAAGTTATGGCCAAGGTTAAAATTTGGTAAAATTTTGCAAAACTGGGTCAAACTCCAAGGTCAAGGTCAAAAGGTCAAATATGGTGGTACCCCAAGAAAGGTCTTGTTACAAGGAATATACAACTGAAATATGAAAGCCATAGCTCCAAACAATCAAAAGTTATAGGCAAGGTTAAAGTTTTTGCGGACAAACAGACAAAAAGACAGACTGACGGACGGACAGGGCAAAAACTATATATCCCCAAATCTTCGATACGGGGGGCATAAAAACAATTTTCATGCAAAAGAAAACCATAATAACATTATGAATAACTCCTTTTTTATCTTAAAGCTGAACATGATTCGTAAAAGCAATGTGTCCGCCATTTTTGTTCGGATTCTCGCTATATCTGAGGACCCCTATATAAAGGGCCTGACTTGGACACTGTTCAGTATAATAAGTCGACACCGGTGTAGACGGACGTATGCTATACAGCACTCGGTAGTGACAAAAATAACTGTAATACCTCGTCTAATGCTGGAAAGTAGATACAAAAGAAACTTACAATTATAGTTGTACAGGTCAGTGCATTATACAAACAAACACAGGTACATGTAACTACAATAAAATGTAAACAAAGGTAATGCAAGATAACCAGCACGAACACGGGTCGCCATTCCACGCCGATTCCTGTGACAATAAAGCAGTCAGGTGTAACGAATGCGAAGAGTATACCCTGGTGTTGATGTATCGTAGATATAATATTGAAAATGGCGTATGCCTATTTACGAGTCGTGTTCAGCTTTAAGCCACAAAAGATATTCTATAATTTACATAAAATATGTATATATTTATCAAATTGAGCATGAAATGTACAGATGAGCAAATGATCATTGGCCTCTTATGTTAGTACACATGTATTTCGAATAATAAATTCCAGTCTAAGATTAAAGAATTTAATGAAGTAAATTCTGAATTTAAAAGAGGGAGTTTAAAAAATGTTTTCTGTCCAAAAAAAAAAAAGAAAAGAAAAGAAAAAAAGACGTCGGTTCAAAATGGGACTTGAAAACATTTTTTTCGACCCCAATTCGGCTCAAGAGTGAAAATTAAAATTCCAAAACCTTATTGCACATCTGCAGGACACCTCCAATCATCTTGCAAAAAATGATATGGCTACTGTGTAAAATGTATGAAGAGTTCTGGGAACCAGGTTTTTGTAAAATGATAAAAAAAAAAAATTTTACAACCCCCGTTTGACCCCTAAGGTGAAAACGAAAATTCCGAAACCTTGTTGCACATTTACAGGACATCACAAATCATCTTTCAAAAGATGATCTGGCTACTGCGTAAAACGTATGAGAACCAGGTTTTTGTAGGAAAAAATGTAATTATTGACCCCCATTCGGCCCACAAGGTAAAACTGAAAATTTAGAAATCTTATTGCACTTTTACATGACACCATCTATCGTATTCCAAAAGATTAATTGGTTATGCTTAAAATACAAGAGGAGTTTGAGAAAGAAGATAGTGTGAATGGAATTGTATAGATCTTCCTTAAGTATGTATGGAATGCCTGGACTGTCGTATCATGGTAAAATAAAATTTATCACTATGTGATGTACTTTTAAAATTACATGATGTGCTTTTGTCATTATGTAATGTGCTTTTGTCATTATGTACTATGCTTTTATCATTATGTGGTGTGCTTTTGTCATTTTGTGGTGTGCTTTTGTCATTGTGTGGTGTGCATTTATCATTATGTGCTTTTTTATTATGTGGTGTGCTTTTGTCATTATGTGGTGTGCATTTATCACTATATGATGTGCTTTTATCATAATGTGGTGTGCTTTTTTCATTACGTGTTGTGCTTTTATCATTATGTGATGTGCTTTTGTCATTATGTGAAGTGCTTTTGTCATTATATGATGTGCTTTTGTCATTATGTGGCGTGCTTTTGTCATTAATGTGGTGTGCTTTATGTGACTATGTGGTGTACTTTTGTCATTATGTGATATGTTTTTATCATTATGTGACTATGTGGTGTGCTTTTATCATTATGTGACTATGTGGTGGTCTTTTGTCATTATGTGATGTGTTTTTTATTATTATGTGACTTTGTGGTGTACTTTTGTCATTCTTTGATGTGTTTTTATAATTATCTGACTATGTGGTGTACTTTTGTCATTATGTGATGTGTTTTTGTCATTATGTGGTGTGCTTTTATCATTATGTGGTGTGCTTTTGTCATTATGTGACTATGTGGTGTACTTTTGTCATTATGTGATGTGCTTTTGTCATTATGTAGTGTGCTTTTGTCATTATGTGGTGTGCTTTTATCATTATGTGACTATGTGGTGTACTTTTGTCATTCTGTGATGTGTTTTTATCATTATGATATGTATAGGTAATGGCTATTGAAATACATGATCTAATGAAATATGCACATCAAATAATAAAGATTGATTGATTGTATGTTGTTTTACGTCCCATTCGAGAATTTTTCACTTAGGGTGAATTCACCATGCATCGGACACCCTCGCACTTCAGCAAGTTCTAGCGATATCGCTACCGACCGAACATTATCAAAATGGAGCTAACATGTAGTATGTGGTTAAAATATAAATTTTTGACACAATCGTGCCCTTTTTATTGAGAAAATATAATTAAGAAACGATTTTTTCGAAATAAGTCAGAATTCACCATGGATCGGACAATATTCACCATGCATCGGACATACGATATTTAAACCAGAAAAATATCATACCTTGATCTCGGTGCTTTAAAATTAGTGATATCGAAACATTTTTATCTTTTATTTAAAAATTAATCTTCTAATTAAATTTGAATGACTATTTCGATCCACAAATATGAAGAGATTTTAGTTGCATCACATCGCCTTAGAAAGGCTTTACAATGCTAGTAATATGGAACTCGCGCCTTTGTCTCGTGGGTTATAATCAGCTAGTTGAAAGAAATAAATTGAGTATACTTCTAGTCGTCATATATCGATAATTTGTATTTTCACTGAAAATTTAGAGTTTCTATTTTCTATTTCCGTAAAAAACAGCTGTCATTTGGGTTTTACATGAAAATAGAAGTGATTACCCATGCATCGGAAAGTGTCCGATGCATGGTTAATTTGTGTCCAACGTACGGTGAAATAAATATACTAGTTAAAAACAACTCTAAAATATATTATACAAACATTGAAGTAAAATTTTTGAAAAATTTCTGTAATATTATCAATCATTGGCAAATTTTACCAAGGTCCGACCCGTTCCGTTGACGTCTATTTAAAAGAACGACAACTCTAAAAATTGCAACATCGTAAAAATCTGGTTACACCCCTTTGATGATGCAAAATATGACGTAATTTCAAGGCCATTCTTGTGGTATTTTTATCACAACATGAAAATAAAAATCGACATCATTAAAAAGTTTAATTCTTCACCTTCAAGACAGAAACAAGTAAAAACACGGAGAGACTCAGGTTCAATGAAAGTTTATTGCTTAAAGTTGTTCGAAGCAAGGTATGTGGCTCTAAATTCGCTCTTGAGTACATCTTGACCTATGATTTTAACAAGAGGAATATAAAATAAATTATTTAAAAAATTGAAATAAGAAATGTTTTATATTGAAAAGTATATTGCAAATATATAAAAAAGATAAAATAAGCAGATTTTTTCATCAACTTACTTTTTTTTCTTGAAATGAATTTCATAATTCCACTAGAATGTGTAGGGGGACATTTTCAACCATGTAAAAATAAAAGTCAAATATACGGCGATAATACCTTGTACACAGAATATCTTCATTCACTACTGTTTAGGAAGGATAAAATTAACATACAAAAGTATTTTAATGCACATTATGTCTAAAATAGAAGAAAAATAGGAATTTATTTCTTCTCATATTTTGAACGTAACGTCTGTCAGACTCAATACACCGGGTACATTGTTATAAAATGGGCCATTGTTTATG